TTGTTTTCATCTGTTGTATTAAATATTATTAACTTGTTTTTGGTTGTGTGTTATTTTTTTTCAGTCTGATATAGTTTCTGGACTTAGGCACTATATCACAGCCCACAAAACTGTTTTTTTGAAATTTCTAAAAGGTAAATTTATCCAAGGCTACTTTCTTCTACACCCATAGTAAGAACTCCTTTGCCACCTTTCTTTGTTTTCTAAATGTAGTAGGAAAGTTGGCAACTTTTCTTTCTATTGGAAAGCCAAACTGATGAGAAGAAAATCAAACCTATATTGCCCACAAAACCCACGTGGAAATCAAGTAGGTACTAATGGAGCAGCAATTAACTACTCTAGACAGCCATCCCGTAATAACTGCACCAGAGTTTAGATCATATAAAACACAGGCACAGCTCCATTTTTATGCCCTCACTTCCAAATATATACTACCTCCAAAAACATTACTTATAAATATTCTCATGTTACATAAATATTATTTTTAAGATATAAAACCTAGTGAAGGCTTTATTTAATATGAACCTGTTTTTACCTTCTTTTTCAGTTTAAATAGTTTGTCTCCATTACAATTTAAGCTATACAAAGAACACATACAGTTGCGACAATCAGTATAATAAATCAGAAATACAGACTTTTTACAAGCAAATCCTAGTCTCAGTTCAAAGTGAAGTTATTTTTTTCTGAGCAATTAGTAACATTATTATAAGTATCAAGGCACCATGTATGCAAAACATCAGTTAAAACTTTAGGAATATGAAGGACTTTAGCAGTGGAAGGCGGCCAATAAACGCCAGTTGTTAAACTTGTGGGCTGAAAGACAACAGTATTCATACTCGGTACACTAATAATATGTTTATTTAACTCTGATTCACACCAAAGAGTACCAAGAGAAGTATATTGTTATTCTCATTTGCTTTTTCATATTCAGATAAACTGGCCACAACTTTACAGGACCCCTCATTGTTTCACATCGTCTGTCTGACTGTCAGCCGAAGAGAATTTCCATAAACACTCACAACCAATTCACTGGGGCTGATTCATCTTCAAAGGCGGCCTCACCACTCTACTCTGATAATTCCTTCTGCAAACTTTCCCAATTAATACATTTCAACAAGCAAGTAATAACAAAACCTTGTGAGTCCCTCTTTGGTGACATTTTTTAAATATTAAAAATAGGTCCTCTTCAGCCTTTTAAATTATAGAAGAAACACCCAAATGACATTAATAAACAGAAATAAAGGACAGACAGTAAGGAAATGCTCTGAGGGATTCTAATCTGAATGTAACACCATTCTTTATGGAGACCAAAGCTTTCATCTAAAAAACAATGAGTTAAGGAAATAAAACCAACACCAATATTTTAACATTTGCTTGTCCTTTCTTGTTCTCTTCTTTTTTCTATTCGAGATCAAAGTCGAATAAAATAAATGCAGTTTTCCTGAAAGTATCTTTAAAAATATTAAAACAAACCTAGAAAAGCATTTTTCTGGCCAAAACATTCTCTTCTGTTGGTTTCTACACCTCTTTCCTTTCACCTTTCACTTTCTTACCTCCTTGTATCTCTAGCCTCTCTTTCTTTTAACTGGAAAAATTGTACAGACTTTAAATAGACAAAAAGGTTCTTGATGTCCGTTCACTGTCTGGTGGGCATTCCCAGTGTTTTCTGATTCTACAGCGATCAGTATTTTTCTTTGTCTCTACTTTGCAACTGTTATAGAAACAGAAGTTAACTTGTGGAGGGTTGATGGACCCCTGGCCACAGAAATACCTGTCAGGTGAAAATACAACTGATTACCATGCAGTGGACACATCTTTTAGCGTTCCTCATTGCCTATTCATGTCTGTCCTCTGGAATTCCCTTTGAACAGCTTTTAACAGTTTACTAGTTTTCCAATTAACTAATGAATTAAATAAAAACCGACGTGTTCATTTTATGAGTCATGATTTTACCTTTTCAAAAACTATCCTTTAATTATCCCATGACTAAACAAATTATTACTGAAACTCAAGTAACAGCTCAAAAGAAGTCTTATTGCTAATTTTATCACCACTTACGCACTTCTTGAATTACTACTGTACATAATACTATTTTTAAGATTTTAATACAAAGAAGATAAGAGGACTAGGTAAACGCTGTGGCTGCCACTGCCCAGGACCACATTAAAATTACAACTAAATTACAGACCAGTCAACCTTGAGAATCATCTGAACACTAGCTGAACAGAACCCCTATAACTAAGGATCTATGAGGAGGCCACATCAAAACTGAATGCTATATATCGACGGAAACATAAATTTTTAAAATTAAAAAAAGATTTTAATACAATTTATTATCCTGAAATCTTAATAGCCCTTAAAAGAGAGATCCTTTTCCTAAGTGACAGAGCAATGAACAGCATGTACACAAGAAAAGCCAAGAACCCAAGTACTGATGACTGCCACTTACTGAGCACTTGCCATGAGGAGACACTGTTCTAAGGCCTTAGTCACCACTGAACCCTCACACCCATCTTGTGACACGGCTACTCCGTCCTGCACCTGAGCAAACTATGGCAAAGAGAAGGAGAGTAGTGCACACAGTCATACTGCCAGTGTGTGGGAGGGCTGTGATTCAAACTGAGAGTCTGTCTCCACACAAAATCAGACTACCTCTCAGAGAAAGAAAAGAAAAATTGCAAAGAGCTGAGCACTTTTAGTGCCATTATTTCTGGTCGCCATTACCAACGTGATCAAAGGATTATCCTGAAACACATTTTTAAAAAGTGCTATTAGAGAGAGTTCAAGCCAAACTCCTTCGTGGGTAGCAGTAATAACAGGAAAAAAAAAAGACAAAAGGTGAGAGGACATGAGAAGGTAAAGAGATGAAATAGGGGGTGGGTTATATGCAAAGTAGAATTTAAGGAAATCCATTTTATGATAGTAAACACTCAATTTAATCCTAACTTTGATGGTTTAGTCTAACACTCACACAAACTCCGTACAACATTCTCATACTCCTTGTGCCTGTGTACAACTGTTTCTTCCTTCTGAAGAACAAAGGGGACCTCTACTCTCTACTTCTTTTGTGGCAGACTTAGAAAGAAGCTGGCTTTTAAGAGTACTGAAACAGGCTATTAAAAGCTTTATAATCAACTGCAAAGTCTATTCATGCTTAAAATATGCTCCAGTAAATATCTAGCAATTACCATTCTTTTCTGGACTTTCTTGGTCCTTAAACTCTTAATTTATACAGGACTGAAATCCTAAAAACACCTCCAGAATGACGCATACTGCAAAGAGCTTCAGAGATGTGACCTAGAACAGTCCAAGCTCACTAAAAGCTGCTAAGCCCCAGGACTTTTTCAACACTTAACTTCCTAAGACAAACACTTGCTGCCTCCCTCTCAGCCAGGGGTAAAGCCCAGCAAGTGAAAAAGAAGCCTCCTGGGGGCCAGCCGAGTGGCTCAGTTGGTTAAGAGCTCGCTCAAGAGTGCGAGCTCTGAGCAACAGGGTTGCCGGTTTCATTCCCAGCCAGAGCTGAGCTGCCAACAGCTGCCAACAGGTGGCAGGATGGCTCAGCTTAAAAAAAAAGCCTTCTATTGGAATTACTAATGGTCTTCAAGTGCATGCTTGAAGGTTAAATATACAGATAAGTGGAGAATTTTCTCCATTCCTAGAAAAACTTAAAGCTATGGATAAAGTACTAACAAACTAATTTGTCACCTTCAGAAAGTATTTACAGAGGAACACCCAGTATATAACTTAATAAACAGAATCACTAAAGCCAGAAAATAAGACAGTTAAGGTGTTAGATGAATTGATTATGTATGATATAAGGATCAAGGTACTAATTATACAAGCTACTAAAACACTGTTCTAGGGATTAAGAAAATTCTAGATTTGGTTCAAGACATCTTGAAAGATATCATTTACCTGCCACAATTCTACTAAAGTAAATAAGTCTGAATTAAGTATGAATTATAGGAAGGGGTTTTTAAAAAAATGAAGACTAGGGCCGGCCGAGTGGTGTGATGGTTAAGACTGGCTTGGGACGCCAGAGGTCCCTGGTTCGGATCCCACATATGAGGGCCAGTGACACTGCCCTCCACAGCTAAGATGCTGAACAACAGCTCAACCTGGAGCTGGGCTGCTGTGAGTCGCCGGCGACAGCGTAGGCTGCAGCCCCTGCTGAGTGGGTTGCCATGGGCTACCGTATGTAGCCAGCAACCAGCGTGAGCGGCCAGCAGCCGCCGTGATCGACCGTCCAGAAGCCGGTGACTGATCTGCCTCGCCCAGAAAGAGCGCAATGATGGTGCCAACTTGGGCCAGTGAAGCAACATCCTCCACAACTAGAATGAAGAACAAAAACGACAGCAATTTGTCTGTTCCCCTTCCCCCAATTCCCCAGCACTGTTCCCTTCCCCCCAATACCCCAATAAAAAAATCTTTAAAAAAAAAAATGAAGACTACATTGGGCCTAATTACTCTCATTTTTTCTCAAAATATCAAGCACATGGAAAATCCTATTTTTATTTCAAGTGTGATCTCAATATTTAAACTTACTAACTCCACAAAATGCACCAATTTTCGTGTCATTAAAAGTATATTATTCAAATAACAAGTACTGGGGGACTGTAAATGGGTGCAGCCACTATGAAAAACGATATATGCACCCCTATGGTCACTGCAGCATTATTTAAAATAGCCAAGATACTGAACCAACCTAGGTGTCCACTGACGACGAATGAATAAAAATATGATATATAGATACAATGGGATATTACTCAGCCATAAAAAAAAAATAAATCTTGCCACTTGTGACAACATGGATGGAACTAGAGATATCTGGAAGCAAAGCTGAGCAGGCTTCAGAAATAACACTAGTCTCCCAATAACAGAGATGTCTTAAACTGTGCTTCGCTGCGTGTTTCTGAAATGTGACCTTCTTTTCTCAGAGTATGTAAAACTTTTTAGCAACTGAAAATTAAAAAAGAAACTGAAGGTAAGATGGTACTTACTTTTCAATCTCAGTGCCAAGCGGATTAGCAGGACGTAGGGACAGGGGAGGAATTCCTTTATTCCTGTCAGTCCGCATATCATAATAATTCATTTCATCAACCCACACAGCAGACTGGTCCAAAATACCTAATGAAGTAAGGAGCACATCCTTAATAAGGTAGAGACACACCGAGGCACTTTCTAAGTTTTGCAAATCGCCTAAAGTTTAGAAAATAAAGCAGAACAAATGGAGGAAAGAATTAGTGATACAGAGGACAGAAATCTAGAAATGACTCAAGTGGAAGAGGGAATTGAAAGAAAAAAAGAAAAAAAAAGGAAAAGAAAGAACTCCAAGAGAACTGTGTGACACCCTTAGAAAGAGCAATATAAGTATAATCAACTGGGTGTACCAGAAGAGTGTGAGAAGAAAACAGCCTATTCAAGCAAATATTCAATGAGAAATTCCCAAAATTATGAAAATAACGATCCTCAAATCCAAGAAGCCAATAGAACACCTAATTATCTCAATCTAAAAATGCCTTCTCTAAGGCACATTATATTAAAACTATCAAAAATTAACAACAAAGAAAGTATGCTCAAGGCAGCCAGGGGAAAAAAGACGAGAACCTATAAAGGAAAGCCCATTATGTTATCAATGGATCTTTCAGCAAAAACCCTATAAGCTAGGAGAGGCTGGAAACAAATATTCAAATTATTGAAAGAGAAAAATCACCAACCAATAATAATATATCCAGCAAAATTTATGCTTTAGATATAAAGGAAAAAAATAAAGGCTTTTCCAGACAAACAGAAACTGAGGGAATTTACCACCATAAGCCCTACATTACAAGAAATGTAGAAAGGTGTTCTTCTACCTGAAATAAAAAGACATAAGGATACTAAATTATGAGTAATATGACTAACAGACAGACAGAAGCAGGAAATTCCAACCCTTGTTCAGAATAGACAATTAAACACTTAAATATAACATAAAAATTAAAGGAGGTAAAAGCATTGAGAAAAAAAAGATGGTAGCGACTGCAACTTGGAAATGAATGCATGCATAAAAAAAGGGATAATTTGTGACAATAAAAACTAAAAGGGAGGGGGAAAAGAACTGAACTTGCACAGGTGAATGGAGAGAAGATGTAATCAGAAGAAAAAGGACCTCTGTATATATGAAACTTTCTTTTGCATAAACCTAATGGCAACCACATAAAAAAAAAAATCTAGAACTGAGACACATTACATTAAAAAAAAGAAAATGGGAAAAATTTCACTGATGATAATTCTAAAGATTTCAAATTCCTTTTAGTCTGTTCACTGAGACATTAAGTATAAGTAGTCAGAATCTAAAGAAAAAATGGAATTTCTTTTTAATCCCTTTGGCTTTAAAAAAAAATGGTCGGGAACTTTCTACACCCAAGTACCTAAAAGATTTCATTTTAAGTGCTTATTATTTCCAGAAGCCAAATATATATATGCTAACACAAGAGGGAAATGCTGTGTGTATTTTCCACAATCAAATATTAACATTTATGCTTTGGAGTTTGAAATTTAATTAAAAATATTTATTATTAAAAAAAAGAGAGACAGAGAAAATGGAGGGGAACAAAAAAAATCACAGAATACCACCAGAGTAAAACAACAGAAAGAAACACAAGGGAAAAGAAACAATAGAGATACAAAGCTACCAGAAAAAAAACAAAAACAAAAACAAAACCATAAAATGTTTATAGGAAATCCTCATGTATCACTAATCACTCTAAAGGTAAATTGATTGCACTCACCAATTAAAAGGCACAGAGTAGTGGGTTAGATCAAAAAGTAAAAAACAAACACAACTTTATGCTGCCTTCAGGAGACATATCTCAGCTGTAAAGGCAAACATAGATTCAAAGTGAAAGGGTGGAAAATGATACTCCAAGCAAATGGCATCCAGAGAAAAGCAGGTTTAGCCATACTTATATCTGACAAAACAGGTTTAAAGATAAAAAAGGTAACAAGGGACAAAGACAGACATTTTATAATGATAAAGGGGTAAATCCACCCAGAAGACATAACACTTATAAATATATATGCACCCAACCTGAGAGCACCAAAATATATAAAGCAACTACTAACAGAACTAAAGGGAGAAAATGACAAAAGCACAATTATAGTAGGGGTCTTAAATACTCCACTGACAGGTATGGATAGATCATTCAAACAGAAAATCAAGGAACCCTTAAAAGACACATTAGACCAAAAGGACATAATTGGTATTAACATAATTTTGGATCCCAGAACACCAGAATATACATCCTTCTCTAGTGCACATGGAACATTCTCAAGGATACACCATATGTTAGGACACAAATCTAGTCTCAAAAAACTTAAGAAGATTAAAATCTAACCAAGAATATTCTTCAATCACAATGCTTTCAACTTGAAAGTCAACTGCAAAAAGAAACAAGGAAAAACCTAAATATGTGGAGGTTAAAGAACATGCTACTAAATAATGCCTGGGTCAAAGAAGAAATAGAGGTCAAAAGATACATGGCAAATGAGAATGACACTATGAAATATCAAAATTTGGGGAATATAGCAAAAGTAGTAATAAGAGGGAAGTTTTAGAGCATTACAAGACTATCTCTAGAAACAAGAAAAGTCTCAAATAAGCAACCTAACATTTCAACCTAAAGAACAGAAATAAAAACAAATGAAACTCAAAGTCCATAGAAGACAATAAAAATTAAAGCTGAATTAAACAAACCAGAGAGCAAAAGGACAATAGAACATTTAATGCAACAAGGAGCTGGTTCTTTGAAAAGATCAATAAAATTGATAAATCTTTGGCTAGACTCATTAAGGGAAAAAGAGAAAAGAGAAACAAAATCAGCAATGAAATACAAGAAGCTACAATGGACGCCACAGAAATGCAAAGGATTATAGAAGAATAATATGAAAGGCTATACGCCATCAAATTCAATAATCTAGAAGCAATGGACAAGTTCTCAGAAATATATAACTTTCCTAGACTGAATCATGAAGAACTGGAAAATCTAAATAGACCAATCAACAGTAAGGAAATTGAAACAGTCATCACAAACCTCCCAAACGGTAGAAGTCCAGAACCAGATGGCTTCGCTAGTGAATTCTACCAAACATTCAAAGAAGATTTAATACATAGTCTTCTCAAAATCTTCCAAAAAATTGAAAAGAAGGCAATACTTCCTAACTTATTTTATGAGACCAACATTACTCTGATGCCAAGACCTAGCAAGGAAATAAACACACACACACACAAAAAATTACAGGCCAATATTTCTGATAAATATAGATGCAAAAATCCTAAACACAATACATGCAAATTGAATACAACAATACATTAAAAAGATACACCATCCACTGATGATTAATAAAACACTTAATAAAATGGATATAGAAGGAAGTACCTCAACATAATAAATAAGGACTATATATGACAAATCCTCAGCTAATATAATACTCAATGGTGAAAAACTGAAAAGTTTTTCCTCTAAGATCAAGAATAAGACAAGGGTGCCCACTGTCACCACTGTTATTCAACATAGTATTGGAAGTCCTAGGCAGAGCAACAAGGCAAGAGAAAGAAATACAAGGCATCCAAATTGGGAATGAAATAAAATTATCACTTTTTGCAGACCACATGATTCTTTATATAGAAATCCCTAATGATGCCACCAAAAAAATATCAGAAACAATAAACAAATACAGTAAAGTTGCAGGATACAAAATCAATGTACAAAAATCCATTGCGTTACTATACATTTAAAACTGAAATTTCAGAAAGAAAAATATAATTCTATGTGCAATTGCAACAAAAATAAAATACCTAAGAACAAACTTAACAAAGTATGTGAAAGGCCTGTACACTGAAAACTACTTGACATTATTGAAAGGCACTGAAAAAGACACAAAGAAATGTAAAGATATTCATGTTCATGGGTTGGAAGAACAGGCATACTTAAAATTGCCATATTACCTAAAGCAATATACAGATTTAATCAGATTTAATGCAATCCCCATCAAAGTCCCAATGGCATTTTTCAAAGATACAGAACAACAAAAATCCTCAAATTTGTATGGAACAACAAAAGGCCACAAATAGCCAAAGCAATCTTGAGGAAAAAGAACACAGCAGGAATTATCATACTCCCTGAATTCAAATTATACTAAAGAGCTAAAATAATCAAAATAGTATGGTACTGGCAGAAAAACAGACACAGAGACCAATGGAACAGATTTGAAAGCCCAGAAATAAACCTGCATGCATATGGGCAACTAATTTTTGACAAAGGAACCAAAAACATACAATAGGGAAAAGAAAGCCTTTTCAATAAATTGTGTTGGGAAAATTGGAAAGCCACATGCAAAAAAATGAAACTAGACTACTATCTGTCACCATACACAAAAATTAACTCAAAATGGGTCAAAGTCTTAAATATGAGACTTGAAACAATAAAAAGCATAGAAGAAAACAAAGGTTCTAAACTTATGGACCTTAGTTTCAGAGGATTTTATGAATTTAACCAGAAAGGCTAGGAAAGTAAAAGCAAAAATAAAAGTAAATGAATCGAGAGAAATCAAAGAGGATACAAATAAATGGAAATACATACCATGTTCACAGATAGGAAAAATGAATATAGTTAAAATGTCAATATTACCTAACGCAATATATAGATTCAATGCAATTCCTATCAAACTACCATTTTTCTCAGAAATAGAACATATAATCCAAAAATTTATATGGAGCCATAAAAGACCCCGAATAGCCACAGCAATCTTGAGAAATAAGAACAAAGCGGGAGGTATCACGCTATCCGACATCAAGTCATA